GCTGGCCCTGCTCTGTGTGCTGCGCGCACAGGCTGAGGACCGCGGGGCTGCAGGGCTGGATGAGAGCAAGGTGACCCACGGCATCCCGGGGAAGGGACGGTGGGAGCGTGGTTGCCGGTCACCGGGGTGGGGATTGGAGGGGTGTTTTTGGTACTGGGGACAGCTGGGGACCCCCCCAGCCACTGCTGTCACGCCCGGGTGAGGGCAGTCAGCCAGCTCCAGCGTAGGGGTCTCAGCGGGGATTTTGGTGCCTGGAGGGGACTCCCATGGCCGAGGGTGTCCTGGCGCAGATCCCGGGTGGGGACAGCCCCCGCCTGCTCCTCGGGACTCACAGCCTGTCCTCGCTGCCAGATTGCAGGGAAATGGTACATCGTTGCTCTGGCCTCCGACTCCGAGAGCTACCTCCAAAAGAAGGACGAGCTGAAGATGGCCATGACCACCATCGCAGTCCTGGGGAACGGTGACCTGAACGTCTCCTTTGCCATTCCCTCGTAAGTGTGAAGCGCTTTCCTCCATGGGCTTCACTGACCGACCTCCTCCCTGGACCTTCCCTGGTGGGTCTCCAGCCAGGTCCCTCCACCCAGCACCTACCAAAGACCAGGGTAGGGGGTGAGGCAGGGCCACCAGCCTCATGGTTTGAACCAGGGCCTTGGGAGAGCTGCGTTGTGGGGACCCCTTCTTCAGGGCAGGCTCAGGGCAGCACCAGACAGGAGCGATCCCACCACGAAGGCTGAGGCACTCCCAGCAGGGATGCAGCAGGATGATAAGGGACCCAACAATTAAAGCTTTCCCAGCAAGACCAGCCTCATCCCACCAGCTCAGAGCACGTCACCCCACGGGGCGATCCTCGGGTGCCAGCGCTGTGCCCTGCCAACCCAGGCACCCATTGCTCCAAGGGTGGCATCTGTCCCATCCCTGCCCTGGCCAAACCATCTCATTCCTGAACAAGTCCCATGTTTGAGCCAGTGTCCCCGGGGGGGAGAAAGGGGGGTCACTTCACCCCAGCTGGAGCATCCTTCACTGTTTTACAGCCCAGAGGGATGTAAGAAATCGGAGTGGATCTACAAGCAAACAGGCACCCCGGGTGAATACTACAGCCCTGGTGAGTGAGGTGGGGGGGACTTCCCACCACTCCTGCCTGAACCAGCAGGTTGTGCCTGGGGACATGGCCCTCAGGGTGCCTGTCTGCCTCTCCTGGGGTCCTGGGATGGGACATCCCTCCGCAGCCGGTCACCACCTGCTGGTCCAAGGCCGGTGACCCTCCAGCGCGGTAGAGCCCCTGCTCCCTCCCTCTGTCTTATCCCAGAGCAGCTTCCCAATCAAGTTCAGATCGAGCTTAAATCCTGGGCAAAAGCAGGTTCATTCTGCAATGGGGCTGTGGATGGCTGTTCCCAAGGGATGAAGCAGGAAAGGTTTCCCACCATCCCCAGCCCAAGTGTTAGTCTGATGCTGGCCGGGCTACTCCGCTGCCTGCAGTGACCATCCGCCCGTCCCTGTCCCTCTGCTCTGCCGTGGTCTGTGGGCTCCCCCAGGCTTTCAGAGGAGCCTTAGCAAGAGGAAAAAAAGAGGAGGGGAAGACACAGAAGACGGACATGCTGGGTGGACCTGGCCCTGGCGTCCTGATTGACGCTCTCACAGTCCTTTTGCAGCGTGGGAGTTCTCGGGGGGAGGTAGTTAATTTTTCCCTTTCCTCCATGTGCTTTTGCAGAGAGAAGCAATTCCACGATGCGGGTGCTGGACACCGACGGCAAGACGTACGCGGTCATCTTTGCCTCCAGAGAGAAGGATGGGAAGACCCTGTACATGCTGAGGCTCCACAGTGCGTAGGCAGCAGTGGTCTGACCGGAAAGAGCAGCTCGGAGGTGTCGGGTGGCTTCGCAGTGTCCTGAGAGGCCAGGAGTCAGAGGGGCACAGGAGACACCCCCTCCTTGCCACTGCCCTCCTGCTGGGACCTCATGCCCGGTGCTGGAGCAGGGCAGCGGAAGGGGCAGAGATGTGGGGCAGGGGAGGCTGGGGCTCAGGCTTCTGCACTGTGCTGGGACTGCATGGCCTCGGGTGAGCCTCTTGGTGAAATGGGGCGAAGAGGGGGGGGTCCTGCTGCAAGGCGGGTGGAAATGGTGGGGATGGGAGCCAAGAGAGGAGACACTCTGCAGGTCCCAGGACCTCCACTTCATCTTGTCCCCTGGGAGGGATCTCTCCTGTGCCTGGCCACCACTGCTTTCCAGGATCTCCACCACCACTGCCTCCAGCCTTCTCCCAGGGACCCTCATCCTTCCTGTCCTCACCTGGGTGTGCTGCCCAGCTGCCCAGGAGTTGCAGGGACAGGCCACAGCCTGGAGCTAACTCATGTCTGTGCCTTTAGGCAGAACCCAGGAGGTGAGCCCTGAAATCACAGCGCTGTTCAAGAAGCTTGCGAGGGAGAAGAGCTTCACCGACGAGATGATCGCAATGCCGCCCAGTCAGGGTGAGCACAGCCCAGCACCGTGTTGGGCCAGCTCGGTCGATACGGGGAGCCAGGGGCCCAGCTCGGCCCATCACTGCCACCACTTTGTGGTCTGAGCTGGCAGGAGAAAGTGCTCGGGCTGGGCACATCGCGGCTTTCACCTCGCTCAAGTTCATTCCGGGGTTGTCTATTTTGGGTGCTTAATGGGATGAGCCAGACCACAGCCCCAGACTCAGCCTTGCTCTTTATTTTCGCAGAGGGATGCAGCCTCGATGGAGTGTAGGTGAGTTGCTGCAGTGCAACGCGGCGTTTGCAACGTCCTCAGCTGGAAATTGCCCCCTTGGTGCACCAGTGAGGGCCACCACCAACTCCATGAATGGCTCTGGGGGCTGAGCTGTTCGAAGCTGTGCTAGGCATGTGCTTTCCCACCGCACCGGTACGCGTTCAGCTGTAGGGGTTAGCTGGAAGTCCATCGCTGGAGATGGCTCACCCTGCAGAGCTGGGGAGAACTGGAAGAGAAAGCACTGATCCTAGTGGAAAGCCCTGCCAGGCCCTCCCTGTTGGCCCCCTCCCCTTGAATACTCAGCCCACCTCTCCTGGCTGTTCTCTAGGAGCTGCGGGCTGGCTGGGGGATGCTCCTGCCGAGCGATGCAAGACCCACGCTCTGAAGCTCCAGGCTGGTGCTCCGCCATCCCTCTTCCGAGCTCAGTGGTCAAGGCTCTGAGACATCTCCTGCTCCTCCAGGGCACGGTCCCTCCTTTTTGCCAAATAAACAGAAAATCACCCCAGAGCTTCATGTGGCTGTTTGAGGACAACCTGGGGTACTCAGGCGTGTGGTCCCTCGGTGTCATCCCAGGGTGTGCGGATGGCAAACAGCCGGGGCTGATCCTGGGCTGAGCTCACCCAAGTGATGGCATTTTCAGAGCCCACCAGGATTTTCCCTCCTGGGTGCCTTCCGAGGGGCAGGACCAGGGTGTGAGGCTGCACATCCCGTGGGCATGAGGGGTTGGGCGGAGAAAGGCTGTGAGACTTGGTCACAGAGATAGTGGCCAAAGTTTGGAGGGCTGCAACCACCACCACCATCCAACTCACCTTCGGTCTGCTCGCCCTGCTGCGACAGCAGCCCTCTGCTCCCCTGGAGCCCACTCATCCACCGCTCAGGCTGGGCCAAGGCAGGGGCCAGATCAGCTTTGGGACCGCCCAGCCCTGCGGTGCTGTGAGGCTGCGCGCGACCCGGGGCTGCAGCTCCAAGGATGCCATTGCATCTTCCACAGCCAAAAGGAAATGGCCTGCCTTTTGTAGGCAGGGTCTCAACCTTAGTTAATTAGTTAATTATATTCAATTCAAGCCAGCTGGGTAATAATTATTGTATGCCATACTGTGGGGCTGGTGGGAGGTGGGTGTCTCAATCCTCCGAACCCAAACCTGGGGCACTGGTATGGGGCTGTGCCTGGTCTCTGCTCCGGGCACTGCGCAGAGGAAGCCCACCCCAGAGTCAGACCGGTGGTGGTGGACACCTGCCTCCAGAAACTATCTTCCTTTGAATTCATATTTCTGAAATCTCACTCCATCCTTCCCTTCCTGCTCTATTCAGCTCCTCAAATCCACCCAGGAGAAACCCCCACCCACCCAGGGTAACCCGTGACCCCAGCAAAGCCCCAGCACCTCACACACGCTCGTCGCGAGGGCTCGGGCAGTGCTGCAGGCACTGGGGTCTGGCAGGGTGTGAAGCAAGTTGTGCCTCTCCTGGAAAAGGATGTTCCTCCAAAATTCTCTCAACTGCTCTTTCCACCCTGCCCATCCCTGACCAGTCGCCCGGGTGTTCATTCCAGCGCAGAATCTGTCTTGCTGCTATGTGACAGCAGCAGGTACCCCAGGAAAGTGCCATTCCAGCAGCTGAGTGCCTCGGGATGTCCCCTGGTACTCCTTCCTCCTCCAAGGGACTGGGAAAACACATCCAGGAAAGTGCCCCTCCTGATCTTGGTACCGAGCGGGGACGAGAGACGGACACATCCTGGCAGCGGCAGGACAAGGGACCTCACTGGCACTGCCCAGCCCAGCGTCACCTCCACCCGCTTTGGCAGGAGCCCA